TCCATTCTCCTCTCGGGATCTTGGGCACACATGCACATGCGCCCAGCGTGAGTTTTAAGCCACCGGGTCCGGGATGCCAACTGCGGTCAACTACGTGGGAGTTCAGCGACATAGCCATTACGCTAACTGCTGGTTCCCATAAGAACTATATTTAATCTATAGGTCATCTTGGGTAGTATTGTTTTCTTTCGCTCCTTTACTTTTTAAAATTTTATTATTGGGACCAGCAGTTAGCATAATGGCTATGTCGTCGCAGGACTCCCACATAGTCAACCGCAGTTCACGTCCCAGACCCAGTGGCTTAAACTCACGCTGGGCGCGTGTGCGTGCGTGCCCGCCCAAGATCCCGAGAGGAGAATGGAGGAGAAGGGATTGTGGTGTGGCCATCCCCCCTGGGGGGTGATTTCTCACTTTCTGTCTCTGTCTCTCTCTGTCTGTCTGGTGAGTGCATGCGCCCTATAGCAAAAACCTCTCCAAAAAATTTTTTTTATTATTATTATTTTTTTCCTATAGGGTGCATGTACTCGCCAGGGAAAGACAGAGAGAGAAATAGAGAAAGGGAGATGGAAAATGAGAAGTAATTCCCCAGGAGGGACGGCCACACTGCAGTCTCGTCTCCATTCTCTTGGGAAGTTGAGGCATGAAAACTGGAGCCTCCTTTCCCCTGCCAGTTGTGTATAGCAGGGCCCAATTCTTCATCCCAGTGTTAAAAAGGTCTGAAAAAGGCCCAGCACTGTGCCTGGCAAAGAAAACAGGGTAGGCTAGGTGAAAGCAAGGGAACCCACAATGTGCCTGGTGGGATTTTTCAAGCCACTGGGTCTTGGTCTTGAACCATGTGGGTATCTAGCACCTTAATCACACCACCTGCTGGCCCCATTCTTTCTTTCTTTTTTTTTTTTTTTTAAAAGAATTATTATTATTGGGAACCAGCAGTTAGCATAATGGCTATGTCGTTGGACTCCCACGTAGACAACCACGGGTCGAGTCCCGGACCTGGTGGCTTAAAACTCATGCAGGGCGCGTGTGCGTGCGTGCGTGCCCAAGATCCCGAGAGGAGATCAGAGGAGAAGGGATTGCGGCGTGACCATCCCCCCGGGGGGTGATTTCTTGCTTTCTGTCTCTCTGTCTCTGTCTGTCTGTCTGGTGAGCGCACGTGCCCTATAGTGAAAACCTCTCAAAAAAAAAAGAATTATTATTATTTTTTAAAAATTTCATTTATTTGTTATTATTCAGTTGGATGACAGAGAGGAGAGAGAGAGAGAGAGAGAAAGAAAGCAAACCACCAGGTCCAGGACTTGAACTGTAGTTGGCCATGTGGGAGTCCAGCACCTTAACCACCATACCACCTGCTGGCTCCCAAGAATTATTTTTTAATTTAACTTTATTTATTCAATTTATCTATTTTAATTTGACCAGAGAGGGCCAGAGAGAGAGAGAAAGAGAGAAAGTGAGAAAGGAAGCCCCCAGATCTGAGTAGTCTGGGACTCAAACTGCAGTTGGCCATGTGAGAGTCCAGCGCCCCCAACCACAATGCCACCTGCTAGCCACCCCCATTCTTTTCTTTAATAGACAGTGTGGGCTCACCAGAGCAAGTCAGAGAGGTAGAGAGATGGAAAGTGAAAAAAGCACCCACCATGGGGCATGGTCATGCCATAATACCTACTCCTAAACTTCTCTCTCTTGCTAGGATTTTGGGAATGCATGCATCTATACCCTGCATGGTTTTCAAAGCTGCCAGGCCTACACAGTAGGCTATGTAGGCCCCAGCTGCTTTAACTGCCAGTCTATGGGGTGTCCTCAGTACTGTTTCCTAAAGATTTTTAAACCTTCCAGTCCATGAACATTGGGTGTCTTTACATTTCCAGGTCTTTTCATTTCTTTCAGCAATATTTTTTTAGCTTTCAACGTACACCTATTTCCACTTCTTTCCC